CCCCCACCCCCCTTTTGTTTTCCTATGAGGTTTTAATCAGATCTTCCTCTTTCAGTATTTCATTTCATCCATACTTCTTATGTCAGCAATCAATCATCTTGCCTAGGAAGAGAGAGAAACCCCAGGACTTTACTGGCCTGTTCTTGGAAGGTCATTTTCTCTGTCTGCTGTAGGTGTTTCAGGTGTATCCCTGCTTCCAGCCCCCTCCCTTTTTTGCCTCTCCCAGGTCAAAGGTTCACAGTGAGTCTGAGCCACTTCCTGCTCTGTGCCTGCTGTTCTGAGGTTGGTGGGACACCCTTCCTGACTGTGCTTGTAGGGCTGTGAATTGGGCCTTAAGGTGAGTGCCTTGACCTTGTCCCCTTGTGGGCCTGAAAGATCAGCTTCTGCTTCCTGTTTTCACCCTGTGGCTGAGCCTGAAGGTAAATCTGGGAACAGCTGTCTGCTTTTTTCCAGACTTTGCAGTGGAAGGAAAGGGCATGGTAATAGGATGGTGATTCCATTCTCTTCTTTTTCTTGTTCTGAGCTTTGCAGGGTTAACAGAGAGTGAGAAGTCTTAAGTAGGGGATGGGAATACCAACCTAGGTCCTTCTTTTTATGTTTTAGTGGTATGCAAAGAGGGCCCAGGTTGTGTTGGCTTTTTGCATTCTGCAATTGAATTCAGCCTGTTCCTTCTCTTTGAGGTCTTTGAAAAGAGGTGAATAGTGGGGAGGTGAGGAAAGGTCCTGGAGGCCAGTTGCCTTGGGGTCTCTGAGCAGCGCCATTTGTTGTTCAAGCAGTGGAGCAGAGGTGGGCACCCCAGTTGTATTGCAAGGTGGGAGCTGTTTTTTAATCTTTGAAATGTTTTCAACATATTAAGGCCTTACTTTGCTGAGACTGAATGCTTGGCCTTTCTTCAACTTAGCAGGGTATGAGTGTGAGGTGGAAATGAGGGTTGTGTTAGATCAGGTTAGCTCTCTCTTCTCAGTCAGAGATTAGGGTAACTTGATCAAACAGGACAAGGAGAGGGAAGGTGGAAAGGTAAACATCATTTACAGAGCACCTGCTTTATGCCTGGAGTGCTACATAAGTTAACCTATTTAATTCTGGAAACAGTAGCAATACTTATTTCCTTAGGAATTTATAGATGAAGAACCTGAGGCTCTCATATGTGAAGTGATTTATTTGAGGTCACATGGCTGGAAAATAGTGGACTGAGATTCCCACCTTTGTTTGAGGGACTGAGGAGCTCATGCTTTACCTACTGCTTTGTGTTGCTGTTATGTGACTTTGGGCCCTTTGTTTTCAGTCCTCAAATGGGATATGATTGAGAAAGCCACCTGTAACCAGTAATACCGTTGTTTCACTTAGGGTCCTTGTAGGTAGCAGATGGTACAAATCAGGTGTGTGAAGAATTTAATACATTTAATAAAGGGAATATTTATTTACAAAGGTTTGGGTACAATTTAAGGTAACTAACAAGGGGTAATTCAATACCCCATGGGCTAATAACAGTGAGAGGGCTAGTAACAGGGGAGGCTGCCTTCCAGCATTCTCAGCTATTGGCTTTGCCTTCCCCGGCACATGCCTGTTTGGGACCATAGGTACCTGGTAAGACCTTAGGTACTTACCTTTTCCAGTGTACTGCTTCTGCCAATAGCTATTAGTTGGAGTGACTGTGTTTGATGGCTTTTAGGAAACCATGTTGGAAAGACTGGGCATCCATTCTGTGGCTCTCACTACCTTCTCACCCTTTTGCTTCTCCCCACCCTGACTCTCTGGTGATGGAGGGTTGGGTGGGTTGATGGTGGGAGAACATGTTAGCTTCCCTGTTTCAGATTTCAGATTTCCCTGAAGTGGCACCCATCCTTTATCTATTACTGTTTTCCTCCTTTCTCAGAGAAAGTGGTATACTTTTTCTCAGATTAATCCTGTACCTGATTTTTCTGTCATCCCCCTCTTATTTATACGTAATCTGTTACTTCCTTGCTATTTCTTTTCCTCACTTGACAAACACCTTGAGGCTCCCCATCCTGAATAAAACAAAAGCAAGCAATACAAACTCTCCCTTGATCCCCCACTCCCATCCCAGTTTCTTTAAGCTATTATCCTATTTTCATCCTCCATGTAACTAAATTTCCTGAATTTGCAGTTATACTTCGCTGACTCCTAGTCATGCTTTAACTACTTACTTTCCTAAGTTTGTCTAAAATTTGCTAAAACCGATTGACCATTTTCAATTCTTATCCTACTTAATTTCTCTGTAGACTGTACATTACAGGCAACTTTCAGTTTCTTGAAACTTCCTTTCCTTGATTTCTAGATTATTATCTCTTGGAGTTCTCCTTCTATTTCTGGATACCTTCACAGTCTTCACAGACTCTTTGTCCTCTGCTTTCCTGAACCCTGGTGTTCCCTAGGGTGTCACTCTTGGTCCTTTCATGGTCTGCTGATATCTTTGGGTGATTCCATCTCCTTCCATAGGCTCACCTACCACCTATCAGCTGGTGACTCCTGGATTTATATCTCTAGTCTTGATTTCACTCTTGAGCTCAATTATAATATTCCTATAGTTGACCCTTGAATAATGTGGGGATTAGGAATGCCAACCCATTGCAGTTGGAAATCTATATAAAATAACTTTTGACTCTCCAAAAACTTAACTGCTAGTAGCCTACTCTTGACTGGAAACCTTACTGATAATATTAATAGTTGATTGAAACGTATTTTATATCTTATATGCATTATATACTGTATTATTAGAGTAAGCTAGAGAAAAGAAAATGGTTTTTCAAATTGTTGCAGATGTCCAAAAATTTTTCCAATATAGTTACTGAAAAAAAATTCACATGTAAGTGGACCCACACAGTTCAAGCCAGTGTCGTTCAAGGGTCAACTATACTTGCTTTCTGGACATCATGGATATCCTGTAGGTGTCTCAAAGCTTCACATGTTCACAACTATCCTCTTCTTCTCTTCTAAAACATGGTTCCCTTTGTTATGTGTTCCTAGTCTGTTGGTGGCATTGTCTTCCTCTGTGTCTCCTATTCTTCATATTAGGGTCTTCTCTTATCCTCCATTCATTTGTCAGGTCTTGTTGCTTCTCCTTCATGGTTAAGTTAAATCTGGAGGCAGATTATCTGCATTTGCACCCCAGTCTTGCCACTTGCTAGCTGGCTCACTTTGACAATTTATTTAACTTTTCTAGGCTTTGATTTTCTCATGTAACAAATGGAAATAATAGTCCATCTTGGTTTAAATGAGAGGTTTAAATGTGAGGTTTAATGAGCCACTACATGTGCTTAGAACAAAGCCTGCTCATAGTAAGTGTGTGTTCAGTATATGTTAGCTATTACGATTATTTTTAATTCAGCATCCAGCTCCACAAGCATTTTTGAATGACACTGGGATTTCACAGAAGAATGAATGATTTCTTTTTTTGTCAAGGATCTTGCTAGTATTGGCAGAGATATTATGGGTGTAAATAATTTCAGTATCACATTAAGATATGCTAAGATACAGATGAATCTTAGATTTATCTCTGTTAATCCTGCTCTTAGCACATTAGTTCATACCATCCTTTTTTTTCTTTAATGGGCTATTGAAACCTGTTCTTATAAATTGTCCACTGCCATCTGTCTCTCACTGCTCCACCTTATACTGCTATCTGACATATTTTTAAAGGAAGATTTTGTCTTATTTCCTTGTTTAAAAATCTCCTTTGTCTCTAGGGTGTCAATAGATATAACCCAAATTCCTTAGCATGATATTCAGTGATATTTATAAACTTCATCCTCATTTACCCTTCAAATCAATATCCTATCTATCTTCTCTAAGTAGGCTGTCATTAAACCACAGCAATAGTCTATGCTTCAAGTTTCTTGTGCTCTTTCATAGTGCCGTATCTTTGTGTGTACTGTTTTTGATACTGTTTTCTCTCTGCTCTCTTAGTGGCCAGTATCTCATTGTTAAAAACTGAAGTCAGCTGTCCCCTCTTACAGTCTCCCAGGCAGTAGTTGCTTTCCCTCCTTGTCCCTGTGACACTTTTGTAAATACCTCTGTTTATGGTATTCATTGGAGTTTTTGTTTTTGCTTTTCCCCAACTGCTTTTATCCATCTTTGTATTTCCACTGCTTAATTAGCAGAGTGGCCAGTACTTTGTCAGTATGGATTGAGCAATGAAACGAGTGAGCCCAACCTGCTGTTAAGGACTGGCCCCATCCTTTGTAAGACTGCCTCCTGTTCTGCAGAAGGTTTCCTTCAGCATGGTTGTTACCTTCTTCCTTTTGTTTTGAGCAGGTAATGGTGAGAAAGAGTATCTGGGTGGAAGAGGATGGTGGTTAATATAACCCAAGTGCAAAGCGTGAAGCTGTTGCCAGGTTTCTGGGTTCCTTCAACCCTTGTTGAATATGAAGAGGAAGGACAACTGAACCACACCTTTCCTCTGAAGTTTTTACTCTTGTGAGAGACAATACTGCTGAGAGGGTGGGAGGTGTGATGGAGAAGGAACTGAGCCGCAGCCTAGGCCAATGGCTATTTTGGTACTTATTCCCTCTCCCTAGTGAGGCTGTTATGTCATTCTCCCCAGGAATGAGTGCTGGGTATATCTGACAGGAGTGGGATATGTGGGAGTGTGTGTATGGTAGTGTATCCATGTGTCCCTTGATGGAGTGAAAATTGTTCTGCCCTTTTGGTTGGCTCTGGATTTCCACCTAAGTATTCAGCCAGTTAGGGGTCTCTTTGCCCATCCTACTGAGGGGTCTTCTAGGGAGGGACCTGTGAAAGGTAGAAAAAAATTTCTTCCTCATCAATCCCAGAGGGCTGGAGTCAGATCAAGACTGGGTTTCTTGATTGTATGTTTATATATTTGTTCGTTCGTTCGTTCGTTTGTTCATTCATTCATTCATTCATTCATTCACTTAAGCATTCATACATTCAACAAGTATTTATTGAGTCCCTAGGCACTGTTCTGTGTATTGAAGATACAACAGTTAACAAAACAGACAAACTCTGCCCTTAATGAGTTTACGTTCTAGTGGGGAAGATAGACAAATGAAAAGCAAATAAATATTTTTGGAGAGTGAAAACTGCTAAGAACAAAGGATCAGGAAGCTAGTGAGTGAAGGTGATAAGATGTGCTATTTAGATAGAATTAAGTCAGGCCTCTAGAGGAGATAGCATTTGAAAATAACTGAGTGATGCAAGCAGTGTGAAGATGTGGAGAAGAGCACTGCAGGCAGAGGGAACAGAAAGTAGTCAAGAAAGCAGGCCTTGAGTAAACAATGAGTGAGGAGGAGGCTGCCAGTAGGTTCTACCGATTAGATTATATAGTGCCTTAGAGGCCAAGGTAAGGGATTTGGGCTATTACTAGTGTGCTAGGAAATCACTGGAGGGTGTTCAGCAGAGGAGAGATGTAATATAATTTAGGTTTAAAAAACATCACTGTAGTTGCTGTGTGGAGAATAGACTCTCGGGGCAAGACTGGAAGCACGGAGACTGATTGGAAGCTACTGCAATGGTGAGGCATGTCTTGAGGGTATAGATGGTAGTGTTTGCTGATGAACTGAATATTGGAAGTAAGAACAAGAAGAAAGAAGGATAATGCTCAGGTTTTTGGCCTGAGCATGTAGGTGAGTGTTGGTATCATTGAGATGGAGAAGGCTGGGGGGAATAATGGGTTTGGTGGTAAAAATGAGTGCTGTTTTAGACATGTTAAGTTTAAGATGCTGACTGTGTGTGCATGTGTGTGGAGTTTTCAGTGGAGTGGTGGTTCTGAGTTCTTCCTGCTGGGGAGTGGAGAGAGGCAAACTTCTGTTAATCTCTTCCGCTCTCACTCTTTGAATTAGGTTTGCAAGTCTGGACTGGGCAGTGACCTCTGGGCTCGCCACTCCAGCCTGGTGTATATCCTCTGGCTCCATGGCCAACTTCTGGCTCCTACAGACCGGATGAAGCAGACTAGAGACACAAGTGGAGAAAGCCTCCAGCTGGCAATTTCTCAGAGTGTAGTCCTCTGGCTGCTGGCCGGGCCCAGCCTGCCTCATGGAGAGGATGAACTGGCTAAGCAGACTGGCCTCCCGAGGTCCTGGGCACCGTGTACCTCAAGGGGCTAGTCTGCAGACCCCTGTCATGGCTGATCCTGAGACCTGCCTCATGGTCTTCAAGAATCACTGGTCGCAGGTAGGAGTCTATAAGCCAAAGGGCCTAGTCTACTGGTTGCCTGCTCCTTGCCTTTGTGTTCTCTCACCATCCCATTTAGTTACCTTGTCATCTTAGATTCCTTCTATCTTCTGTCATTTCTCCCGAGGTGGTGCGAATCCTGGAGCGGCAAGGCCCTCGGGCAGCTCCTGGGGGTGCAGATGATCTCAGTGCTGTGTGCAACCACACTTATCAGATGCTGACACTTCTGGCAGAGGATCGTGCAGTCCCCTCAGCCCCCACAGCCCCTGGGCCCCTGCTGGAGTTTGCACTGCGCGAGGATCTGCTAACCCGTTTGTTGGCATGGCAGCTTCAGTGGGATGACTTTGGGGATGGGGTTGAGGAACGGCGGGCTGAGCAACTGAAACTATTTGAGATGCTAGTGAGTGAAGCTCGCCAGCCGCTGTTGAGGCATGGTCCAGTTCGTGAGGCTCTGCTGACCTTGCTGGATGCCTGTGGCTGCCCTGTGCCCAGTAGCCCAGCACTGGATGAAGGCCTGGTGCTACTTCTCAGCCAGCTGTGTGTGTGTCTGGCCCGGGAGCCTTCATTGCTCGAGCTCTTCCTGCAGCCACCTCCTGAGCCTGGAGCTGCCCCCCGTCTTCTCCTCTTTTCTCGCCTTGTCCCCTTCGTCCATCGAGAGGGCACCCTGGGCCAGCAGGCCCGTGATGCCCTACTCTTGCTCATGGCTCTGTCAGCTGGGAGCCCCACTGTGGGCCGCTACATCGCAGATCACTCTTACTTCTGTCCGGTCAGCACCTCCTGGGGTGGGGGTAGGGTAGGGTATGGTGTGTAGATACTGGGTAGCACCTTGCTATCAAGGAGATATGGATGGGCTGTATACCAGCACCCTGTCCTTCAGGAAGTAGGCCCCTGGGTTTGAAAGCAGTACCTGGAGTTAGGGTGGGGATAAAGATGGGCTCAGGTGGGTATGGCAGGTACTAAGGCTTTTCATGGGTCAGTGTCCCAGGTGATGTCCTGGCACGTTGAATAACTAACTTTCTGCTCAGGTAATACCTCTTTCCCCTACTCCCATCAAAATTCTGGGTTAATAGCTCCCCTGTGCCCCTTTTCTGTATTGTCTGAGCCTTTGGTAACCTATCCTTGGGGATGGCCCTCAGGTGCTGGCCACAGGGTTGAGTGCCCTGTACTCCTCGCTGCCTCGAAAGATTGAGGTTCCAGGGGATGATTGGCACTGCCTGCGACGGGAGGACTGGCTGGGAGTGCCAGCCCTTGCACTCTTCATGAGTTCCCTTGAGTTCTGCAATGCAGTCATTCAGGTGGGACTGGGGTTTGCAGGAGGTCTGGTCAAAGGGGGTGCATTCCCTGGAGTTCTGCTCTTTTGTCATTTTGGGGTTGGGGGCCCTACTGGTATTGTACCATTCATTCTACTCCCTTCCATACAGTGGTCCCCCTCAGAACCCTCCTTCCTCTCTCTTGCATCCCTACAGGTGGCTCACCCTCTGGTACAGAAGCAATTAGTTGATTATATCCATAATGGATTTCTGGTTCCTGTCATGGGCCCTGCCCTGCACAAGGTGAGAGTCATGGATGGCAAGGCAGATTAG